ATATATATAAGAAATGAAAGCAAGGACTCAGGCAGATATGGGGGTCCCCCCTATGTTCACCGCCCCATCGTTCACAATAGGCAAAAGTTGGAAATGACCCAGGTGTCCAGCGACAGATGAATGAAAAAACCAAATGTGGTCCTCTGCAAACAATGGAATATCATTCAGTCTTAAAAAGGAAGGAAATTCTGACATGAACCAAACTTGAGGACATGATTTCGGAAAAAAAAAAAAATAATAATAAGGCAAACACAGTCGAGTACTGCAGGACTCCCCTCACCTGAATCCCCAGCAGCAATCGAATTCACAGAGGGGGAAGAGGGTGCCACATGCCTGTCATTCCCAGTGGCCCGGGAGGCTGAGGCTGGAGGATCGCAAGTTGGAGGCCAGCCTCGGTCATTTAGCCGCGAAGCAACGTATCCAAATCTTATCTCTAAATAAAAAAAAAGAAGAAGGGCTGGGGATGTGGCTCAGGGGGTGAAGTGGTCACCCTTGACCAATCCCAGGTTTAAAAAGAAAGAAGGAAAGAAAGAAAGTGGGTGTGGAGGCCGGGGCCGGGGAGGGGAATGGAAAGTCGGTGTTGGATGGAGACAAGAGTTTCAGGTTGATCGGATGGAAAGTTCTAGAAGGGGGGGGGTGAACAATCCCCGCCAGCACAGCGAATGCCGCTGACCTAACCAGTTAATTACGACCCGTCATTGCGACATCAAAGTGGAAAGAATTTTCACCGAATGTTAACAAAGGCAGGCGGCCATGTGATACATGATTTTTTTTTCCTCATCTTTTCTCCATTTTCCAAATATCCTGTCATGTGATTTATGATCTTGAAGGATGAAAATGAATATTTATGCTTGGAGCAGAGAGGCACGCTGTTTATCCCAGAAGCTCGGAGGCTGAGGCAGGAGGAACGGTGGCGACAAGGCAAAGAGGCAGAGAAGGAGCAGTGAGGAACAAAATATAAACCACAAGGTGCAACCCTCTAGTGACCTACTTCCTCCAGCCTCCTCATACCTGCCTATGTTTATCTTTAGTACCCCGCTAACCGCTGAGCCCCCTCCCCAACCCTTTCTCACATTTTATTTACAGACAGGGTCTCGCTGAGTTGCTTAGGGCCTTGCTAAGTGGCTGAGGCTGGCCTCCAACTTGCGATCCTCCTGCCTCAGCCTCCTGAGCCCCTGGGATGATACTCTCACTAGCGTCTCATGAGCTTTGGGGCGGGGTGTCTCACATTCAAACCATATCACATACCTGTGATAAATCTACGTGTATACATCAGGCTCAGTAAAAGGTTAACAACAATCATAAAATAAAACAAACAACAATATACTGTAATAAAATGGCCTGCATCCCTATTGCTTTTTTTGGGGGGGGGCTCCTATTAAATTAAACATGGATTATTTGAATATAAGCATTATGATAAATTATGGAAGGGGATCTAATAACAGAGCCAGCTGGTAACGAATGGGAGGGTAGCATATACAGCATGGATACACCAGACAAAGGGAGATTGATGTCCTGGGCAGGACTGAGGGGAATAGTGATTTCATCAAGCTGCTTGGTACTGCCCAACGTACACTTCTATTTTTTTTGCCATCGAGTGGGGACTTCTGCAAAACAATCTTTCTAGAATATGCCACGGATCCTCCTCTTGCTTCAAATCTTCCCAAGAGTTCCCCATGCCAGGACACAATCCGAGTACTTAGGCCTGGCGTCTGAGCCCTTGGGCCTCTATGTCCCATGACCTCCACTGTCCCAGGCATGGCACACTATATATACACCCGCTGTCCCCCCACGGAGACTTCATGAACCCATTTCCAGACTTGAGGATCCTGCTTCAATAAGAAATAAATAACCCAACAGGTCCCCTGTAGGTTTATGACTTCAGCGCATCAGAAAAGCTACGCGAATAATAACTTCAGGATATAAAACAAATTCCCAGCCTCAGCTATTGACCTTTGGGGTCAGATAAATTTAATTTATTTATTATTTTTTTTTGCAGTGGGGGATGTCATGGGTACCTGTAGGATGTTGGGCAACGTCCCTGGTCTCTACCCTGGCCATCAACATGGGTTCCATAGGTCAGGGGACAGGGTGACACAGGTGATTTCAGGCCCCACCCCAAGCAGCACAAGGAAGATCTGTGGATCAGAATCGTCTGTTGCAGTGAAGGGCTCTGGGCCTTCTTCACCTGACCCAGCAAAACCCAGATGCATGCTGGGTTCCAAGTGAGCTGGGTCGTGGGGGGCCAGGGCGTGGGGGGTGGTGAGGCAGCCCCACGGGCCCAGCAGAGGCCATGACTTTGAAGACGCCATGTTCTGATCTCCAGACCCAGCAGGGTTGACAGGCGGGTGGAGGTGAGTGTACACACGTACCCAGGTGTGCACACCTGGGAGACTCGGTGGCTGAGTGGGTGTATGCAGAATGGGACACTGATATGGGCATGGTCACCAGGGCAGCTGACAAGTGCCCAGCACGCAGCACGGGATGGGCAGGAGCTCAAGAGGGTGTGGGTGGGTGGATGGTGGATGGTGGATGGTGGATGGTGGATGGTGGATGGTGG